GGGCGGGAGGGGGGCGGGGGCCGCGCCCGGGGCCACCGGGGTCCGTTTGTGCGAGGCTTCGAGTTAACGGGTAGAGCCCGGTATGCAAAAGAGCCCAACCAGTTACCCTAATGAGCGGGACGTCCCCGCGTGCCTTCGCAGGAGCCTGGCTTTGATCTGCTGCTGCGTTCACGGAGTTTCGTTTTCCAGTTTATTAAATCTGGCACCTCAGCCAGAGGCACGTGCGTGTCCCAGCGCTGAGTGCTTTTAACAATTTGTCATTTCAGGATCAGGATGGCTGGGCAAGACAGGCAGCCACTGATTAATTTGAAAATGAACTATCCCGGTGTGGTGGTAGATACTGAGAAAATAAGTTTAGGGGAGAGATCCAGAAAGAATATCTCTTGCAATCAAAAGAGGCAACGGAAGGGGCTTGCTGTAGCAGTGTGTGCGCTGCTGAATTCGGGAGGAGTGGTGAGGCTGGAGAGTGAAGACAGTGTAATAAACCTTGTGTAATCAATTTGTTAATCAAACTGGTAGATGGTTAAACTATATTAACCTTTGTGACCTAGGGACTCAGCTGTTTCTATTGTAATCGTCTGTTGACTTTTGAATAAGCAACGCCTGCAGGATGTGAGATTGTATAGCTTGTATGTAGCGGGTATGCTCTAAAGAAAACAGGTCATCCATCAATAGGACAATGCAGAGGAAGACTACTGCCTTCATCCCTGACCACCAAAGAGGAAGGAAAGACCCCTAGCAACAAGGAGCAGAACCAAAGAAACAATCAGAGCAAGCCACTCAACCCGGAGTTGACCCCAGAACTAAAAAACCTATGAAAGAGGACTCTGGCGGGGGTGAAGTGCGCGCTGTTGGTGGAGCGGAGACTCCCCGGCCGCCCAGCGCTGTTTTGCCTGCTTATTACTTGCTCAAATTAAACTCTGTTTGGATACTCTAAATTAGAGTGGACTATTTGTCACCACCGTTTATAACAATTTGGTGCCGTGACTCGGATGCAGGTTAACTTGGTTCGGGATCCAAACTCTGGGGAGGCGCCCCATCTTTGGATGGCCCCTGAGTGAACGACACCCCCTTCCAACACCTGTACCTCCGAACCCTAAATTAAGGAAGCAGGCAAAAGAAACTGCAGTACCCTGTAATTTTTGTGCACGAAGATCCGAATGAAGACTCCAGGACGCGTGAGTATTATGAAGTGGTTCTGTTCGGTCGGGGTGGGTTTCCCAGAGTGAGCCTGAATGAGACGTCCCGAAGGGGGTGAAGCGAGTGCGGACCCTCTTGTAGTGCGGTTCTCATTGCCCGCGAGGGTGTGAGCCACGAACGAGGGGAGTGTGTGTGTGAGACACTTTGGAAGATGGGACAGAAGAAGAGCAAGCTGTCTGATCCCACGGAGAGGGGCCCTACGGTAGGGTTGCCCGATATACCGCCAGAGAGTCCTTTAAGGTTAATGATTGCCCATTGGGATTACTGGCCGTCCAGATAAGGCAAAAGTAGAGAAAAGATGGTACATTATTGTATGCAGATATGGGGTGGGAAACAGATAAGGAGAGACCACCTATACTGGCCTATTTTGGGGTCATTTGAAGATTGGATTTGTCAAGCTTTAAATATATATGTGAACTCCAAAGAACCTTTTAGCTTAGAGGAAAGTGAATATGCCAGTTTATGGATAAGATCAGACACCAGAACTTTTTTGTTTACTCTGAAGGAAAAGAGTCCTAGGAAAAAGACTTAAGAATCCTGAGGAGCACCCCCTATCA